TGTTGCCGGAATTCTAGAGATGCGACAGAAGAAGACAATGCACTGCGTGAAAATTATGTAAACAAGTTTTAACGATTTATGTAGGAATTATGTCACTTCCATTATATACACTTATTAAAATAGATTTTCGTTTTGTTCTGGAACCATTTCTATCATCAAATATGACTGATTCATGCATATACACGTTCCAATAGTGATGTAAAATCATTTCAGCTATTCACTGACTTGTGTATCTGTTAAACACATAGACCTTGTACATGGTCTATAGAGGACGGGTAGGTGTAAATTTTGCATTTTCTAACCGTCCAACTAATTAGAACCTTAAGTAAATATAGATTTTCAGCGTGAAAAAAGTTGTTAGCTTTTTATAGTGTGTATTCATTGAGAAGCCATTGCTTCTTGACTTTTTATTCTATTTATCCATAAGGTTAATGAAATATATCGAGCATTAAAGTTGATTTTCTTGGATATGTTGGGGTACATCAGTAATTGTTTGGTATAAGAAAAATCCTTTCATGGTTAGTTGTGACACAGGAAGAACAATATTTCAGATAGTAAATCCTAATAAATTACTTAACACGAAGTTCAAAGCATATTTAGAAGAGAGAATATATCACGATATTCAATAAGAATAAACGATAAGAATTCTAGATTGGATACTGAAGAAAAATTCATGTCACTACCTGAAATATTAACGTCCATTTCGAATCAATTGAACCTAGTCTGTGGTTCTATTCTCTTCATTGTTGGATCTGTGGGTGCATTATTAAACATGTACATATTTCGACAGCGATCCCTTCGTGCAAGTCCTTGTTCAATTTATTTATTCAGTCAATCATTTTTCGATCTCTGTCATTTGATAAATACTCTTTTCACGCGTATTCTTTATACTTTATCTGTCGAAACATATTCAAAAAGTGATATTTATTGTCGAATTCGCTCATTTATTGCCGAAGCAGCTTCACTATGTGCTGTTAGTTGTCTATGTTTGGGCGCATTTGACCGTTGTATGTCTACATCAAGAAAAGAATCTCAACGTCGTTGGAGTTCTCATAGATTTGCCTATAGAGTTGTTCCTATTACAATAATGTTATGGTCTTTCATCAACATTCCACAACTCATCTTTCGAGGCATTCTAAACAACACATGTGTGGCTTTGTCCAATAATTTTACTCTCTATATAAATTACTTTCATACACCTGTCTTCTATGGTATATTGCCGATCACAGTTTTATTCTATCTACGAAAACGTACCATGAAAAATATTCATGATATTCAACATGCTGTTACTATTCGTCGACGTATAGAACGCTATATTAACCAAATGTTATTATTACAGATTAGTTTAACTCTCTTTACTTCTATTCTTCTAATGATACAATATATTTATAGTGCAACAACGATCTCGACCAAAAAAACTGCTTTACATCTCGCCATTGAAAATTTATGTCTACAAATCGTTCGACTAATCTTCTATTTAAATTATATAACTGCATTTTACTTCAATTGTCTTGTGTCACCCGTGGCACGTCTTATAATCCGACGTCTCTTCACCTGTCGTCAGCAACGAGTCGAGCCTGTAACTACGATAGATCGTACTCGATAAGATTAACATTGAATGAAAACTTTTCTATTGACTAAATTGACCTGCATGTAAATATTCAACGTTTGATTTCTTCTAGGAAATTTTCGTTGTGATATACATTTTCTCTATGAATTCTTTCGAAGACGATATTAATCCCAAAGCGATCCATCTTCTTGCAATAAACCTTCAAAATCAAGTATCCATCCACAACTTGTACTCATTAGACACATTTATTCTTGTGGGAAACTATCATCTCTTCATCATATCTTTAAAGAACATAATTTTAATGAATTACAGACATTTCTTGACATAAATGAACATGACAAATACGTCGGCCGTTCAAAAAGTAACCGGTCTGATTTTATTAGAAAACAATAAGAAGCACTGCTATATTTGTATTATTACCTGTACGTAGTTCATACAGTTCTCTATCTGTAGACATCATAAGTTCAGTTGAATTAAACATACATCTGTAGTCAAAAAAACTTGCACATTTGTTACTCTCAAGCACTTTCATATACTGGTTAATAGCCTACGACGAGTACTACGAACACTATATTTCAATATTTTATTCGTTCACCTTTAGAAGAAATAAGAGACAAGCATCTTTTTTTCATGGACATCACACAATTTTTTACAACATTAATTTCAGTACTTTTGAATTCTTTCCATGTAAACACGAAACGCAAAATATATGCGCTCAACCGCGATTTTGTCAACCGCCGCGTCTAGACGCATTGTGATACAAAATGTTTACATGAATTTCTAATACATTTATGAGAAGCTAGCACAATCCGACGAATTACCACGACGCGAGAAAAATTTGATTGATCAAGGATTGACCAATCACATAATTCGCCATCATGAAGCATCAATATGGAGGCTATGAATTTGGACATGACTTTCTTGACAACACTACGAAGCCTCAAAGGAATATTGCAAACTATACAGAGTTCAAAATAAAAATTCGAATACACATTTCCCAAATCCATACACCAGTTCTCCGATAAAACTCAAGAAAACATTTTCGTCTTCCTTCTATCCCAACCATCAACCTACAGAAATTGATCCTTCCAAACATAAATTCAATCTAAAGTGTCAAATCAATCCACAATTATTACCAAAATTTCTCGACAACACTCATAATTCACTCCCAACTAACCATATTGTCCTACCTAGAACGCAAGAAATTCCATATCTCCCCGCCTGAATTCATCGAAGGAATTATGTTCGAGCCGTTGGAAGAGATTGCCCTGATTCAGAATTGCCCAGACATACGTAGAAGTCGAGAAATCTCTCTCACAATCATTGGTGGTCATCATGGAAGTTTCCCTAGGGATGTTTTTTTTGATGGTCACCCATGGAAGAAAGTATGTCCGAGACATCGGGAAACGTCCATTAGATGCAGAATTTCATGTGGCATCCGAATCTGTCTTCACAACTGCCAGGACATACATGTGAAGCGAGAAAACTGCCAAAAAAACACCTTAAAACGATCAATTTTGGGTCTCTTATCCAGAATCGTCTAAATTATTAATCACAAGAAAGTATGTCCGAGTGTGGGTGTGGTTGCAGGTATTCTTTTCATCCACACCCACATCCATCCGTGTGTTCATAAAACTTTGAATAAAATCATCTAATCTAAATATGTTTGTTGCATTGTTTTCTAAATTAAATACATTGGACAACAAATAATCCATGTGCATTTCTGCCAAAAGAAGACCAGACTTACTGATTGAAAAACAAATTCCCAGGTCGAGAAATCTGACCATTGAATCTTGTCAGATTCGATCAGATTCAATCGGATTGAGTTCAGAATCCAGTGACCTGAAATCCGACGAACATTTAACTCCCTGGGGAAATCTTTGATGTTTCAGTCCCGGATCCTGCAAGGATTCGACCTTTTTTCTTGAGGAAACGACCAAATCCTGAAAGAAACGCGTTGCCATGTTTTTTCAGGATCCTGACAAGTTTATCATTGCTTTGCAAACGAGGATTTGGCCAAGAAATCGATGATTCCTGAAAGAAATGTGTAGCCCTAGAATGCCAGGATCCTGTCAGGATTTCAATAACTCAAATTGAGAAAAAAAACGATTCCTGATCACATCCTTCATGATCTGATCAGCTTTTCTCGAAGATGTTATCAAATTTCTTGACAGGATCTTTGCAGGATTGGAACAGGGTGTGGGTGTGGATGTGGGTGTGCATCAGTGTTAAGAAGAAAATATCCACACCCACACCCTAATTAATCGAATAGAATATTTAGATGGCTCTTCTCTTTGTATTACATCTGGAACGAGAGTTTGTTTTCGTATATTACATTTCGTGTCTTTTGTTTTCTTGAAATGCATCAAAAACATCTTTTGAGAGGAAAACAATCGACAAACCTTAGTCGCTCAAAAGTTTCGAGCAAGAAGATCTCGCACAGTTTTATTCGATTAATTTTGGTTTCGGTCGTGCTCCTTAAAATGTTTTTCTCTTGTGAGGGTGTAGGTGTGAGAGAAAAGAAGATTCATAACAGCATACACATCCACACTCCCATAATTGACTAATGAATTTCAACATATTTCTATCTTCTTCTGTTCTGATTGAATGTCGTTTTCGTTTTTTAGATTTTCTTTTTAGTTTCTTTAGTTCATTATGCTTTGCATCAGCTATATTGTTGACATCACTGATTGGACGTACTTCTTTCCTTGTATTCATTAAGTTAATAATTCTCTTCAGTCATTTCACAAGCACGACATTTTCGCATGAAATGTTGGGGTTTTCGATTACCATGACATTTCTTTTTTGATTTCTGTTGTTCATGATCTATCTCTTCTCCTGTGTGCACTTGATTAGCAGAGAGTTTATCCCACCAATGATCTTGTGTATCAGAACAGATAAAAAGCAAGATGGATAATTTTTAGAAAAAAAAACAAAAACTTCAACGTTATATTCATTTACTCAAGAACAAAAGCAATCGATAGATCTTATGTTGTTTCAAGTCAATTTTTAGTAACTAGTGGATTGATGATGACCACAGTACTAAATACACGTGATGAATCATCTTCCAAACTTCATTGTAGTACTCGACAATGTAAAAAAAATGTCGACGAGGTTCACGTAGATAATCACAAATGATTTTCTGGATCTTATCGAACATTACATCAATACTTTCTTCTTCTGTAGCCTCTAAATGTACTGTTACTGTTGATGCCTACGATCCCAAAATGTCATATAAAAGAAGAGAATTGTGCGTATTGTCTTTTAATCATGGCTTAATTTGTAAATCATTTTATAATTGAAATTGTAACATGATATTAGTGTTAGTGGTGACAGAGCAAATATTTGTATATAAAAATGGCTTGTTTTTTGCTATTTTCTTCAATGGTTTTTTCACAATATTGTGAGTAATTTACAAAAAGTTTGAAAAATGAAACGAACAATATTGTTGATACTGTTGGTTCTATATATTAATCAATGTCTCAGTCAAAAAGGTTTTCCGAAACAATTTCAAGCAACAATAAATATAACTGGATTACAGTCATGGGATACATCATTGGGCGTTCAAAAATTATTGTATGATTATGAAAATTTAAGAGCACGTATTGATATTAAAGGGTGGCGAGCACAACAAAAGCAAGTTTACATGATTAAATACAAGCCTGAAGGTGCCGAACCAGATTCCGTAAGTAGAAAATAATTGATTATACACAAATAGATTCCATAAGCTGTTTTTCTCAGCCAGCTTCGCAGGGCTATACATTGTTCAATTTCAATCCTGATTATCCAGAATTGACTAAAGTAAAAGGTCAATTTTCTTGTTTTTCTCTTTAAATAATATGTTTTTCTAAAGAATGATTGTTGGTACAGAACAGATCCAATGGGTGATACGGGTCCATTTCCATGGATCTGGTTTCATGATTCAAAATATGTCGTTGATGAACAAGATCATACTAATATTCAACCATGGTTTCCATTACCATTAAATCTTATCAAAAAGGATGAAGAATAGATACCAGAAATTCAACTAAATGCAACAGTATGTGTTCTTATTTCGACAAGACTTTGGACGAGTTTATGAAAATTTCATTGTTGTAGAGATATGATTCACCGGAAATATGTGATTTAATACGATCTGATATTGGTAAAGTTCCATGTTTAAGCTATTTTGAAACAAAAGATAGACCAGTTAAAACTATTCATGCACGTGCTGCCGTAGGTGGTTATGATAGTGATGAGTAAGTATAAATTGCTAGTTTTTACACATAAACCATATGTTTGTATATAGATATACAAGTACGTTTTATTTAACATTTATTCATGGTATCTCGCCAGAAGCAGAAAATTTATTTGATTTACCAAATCAATGGCCCTCTTATTGTGGCAATGCAAATACAGGTACATTATAGATTTCAACTACTCATCTAGTATCATTCATATTGTATTTCTAGGTTTTAATGTAGATCCTATACATGGATTTGTAGTAACTCCCGATGGTCAAGATCATTTTTCATTGAAATTAAACACACCACCAATTCGCTCACTTGGTAATCAAGTGACAGTTGAGTTTAAAGTACAACCAAATTGGTATTACAATGGTACACGATGTGCTCAATTTAATTCAATTATTTTTGATAAAGAAAATTGGAACAAACCACAACAAGTTGATATGTCTTTTGGTGATTATGGTTGTTGCACATATGCAATTACTGCAAATGGTGGTAGATATGAATGGCAATATCAAGTACAAACATTTGTTGTTTATGCATGTGATGGACAAGCTGGATATGGCTGCAAAGGCAAAGAACCATGTGGAGCCTAAAAAGCATCCAAAAATAAGAAGAATGATATCCAGAGTCACATATGTGTGTAATAAAAATCGTTTTAACTTTATTAAAATGAAATAAAAATTTTTCTTGATAATAGTTATTATATGACAAAGAAACGAATATTGTACTATTATTCATGTAAAAATATAGTATATTCTGTTCTTTGTTAGAATACTTTGAGAATATTAGCAAGTAGCTACATTCATCAGCGAAGAATTTCGATAGAATATCTAGAGTTGTAATTGAACTGCTCTTTAATAATGAGAAATTATGTGATTTTCGACGTTTCGACTAATTGAATAGTCATTTTCAACAAAGAACATCACTCTGATCTTGACTTAAATATATTTGAATGTCCAAATAATCACTATGAATAGGATTTTAATTTAGTTTACTGAATTTTCAATGCAGTTGTGTTGCTGATAGGTTTGACGTGAAGTTATATTGGTGAATGTCGCTGAAATGGATAATTTTTTTGTCGACATTATGGGCATTTATTTTACTCTTATTTGGTATTTCTAGAGTGAACCACTTAACATTGTGCTTTGTTTGGGAAACAAGATTAGTATGTTTGATTTTCTTTAATCTAGGTGTGGGATAATTTCCTTTTTTTATGGAGGGTAAGAGGAGCGCAAGTAATTGTAATTTCTCTAGACATGTTATGTTGAGATTAAGCATATTCTCACGACTGAGTATTACAGAATGTTAATGTTAGTTAATTGACTGATTGCCTTTTCAGATTCTATTAACATTATCGTGTTATTCTTTCTCGAGTGTATTTCGTTCAGATTCTTTATTTGAATTCAAATCTATTGGATTCAATGAAATAACGTTTTTTCAAAGCTGTGTTAGCCTGTACGTATGTTTTGAGAATTTTAAGACTGTCAACGGCAAATGTATATCAGTATCTTTATCGGCATCACGATGCTCGCACTACTAAACTTTTTAGTGAATTGGTGAAAATCCGCATTCAGATCTGTAAACTGAATCATGTTATTTTGTTCATTTGTGCCTGTAGAAGTAAGACTTTCGTTCCAGTTTTTGTTCGTTTTCGTGTGGCAATTACATGTTTAGCCAATTCGAAACTTATCCAACGATGTCAAGATAACATTTTGAAAGATGAATTGATATTTAAAAGACATCTTTTAAAACAAACTACTAAACATATGGCTGAATTACATAGGAAATTGCAAGGAACAGTGTCACACATTGTTTATGTTCGTTTAGTTTCTATTTCTAATGAAATTATTAATGAACAGCTAGTGGCAATTGAACGTACGCATAAAAAAAAACTCGAAACTTTACATGCTGAATATTCTTTTTATGCTTCTCGACAGTAAAAAAAGAAAAGTCTGAATCCGGTGAAAAATTTGTCAAGTTATATTCTGTCCGATGACGAGCATGATTCTTTGATTAATGGATTCAATCATGTGTATATAACAGAAAAATTTGATCAACCGCAGTTTGTGTGTGATATGGAATATTTTTATTCTCATCTCTTAAATGTGCGAACTTCGCACCGTCATTACGAATCGAAACCTGTTAGGGTGTGGATGTTTTCTTCTTAACACTGACACACCATCCACACCCACATTGTTAAGTGTGACAACAATTAGTGGATGAAAATTAGCTAAAATACGAAAAAATTCTTCAGATATGATT